GAGACCAATAAGGTGTTGCTGGGGTAACACATCTCGAGGTGATCGAGGCTTGAGTAGTGGGAGAGTGGGAGAAGTGGCCTGGTTCTGGACACATTTTGAAGCTCTGGATTTGCTGATGAGTTGGACATGGGATGTGAGAAGCAGAAGAAAAAGAATGACCCCTAAAGAGAGAAAATGTAAATTTACTTCCATTTTACAGATGGGACAACTGAGGTTGGAAGAGGATAAGTGACTTGCTCTGAGGGCATTTAGCTGGAAAGTTTATAAAACTGGGATGATTTCTCAGGTATTTTCAGTCAAAATTCCTTAGCCTTTTCTGTGTACACATTGCATCTCTCCCACCCTGGGCCTCCTGCCCCACCTGGCTGACCTGAGCACTTAGAACCCTCTAGTTTCCATAGTGCTCAGCAAATACTAATCTACGATGTTGAAACATTCACTGTTGAAATCTTAGGAAGCACCTCAGCCCGAGCCATTTGTCTAAGTGTTTATGAGAGCAACTCAGAGATCATTCAATATATGAAACCCATATCTGTTTCCAAAGAACTTGATTCTAGTACCTTCTGTAAAGGTTTAGCATTTTTTTGAATGGGAGCCTTTTTTCATTAGTCTTGTAAGTTGTGGATTTGTACATTATCACTAGTGGTTTTTATTGTCCTCTACTGATTATCACAGCCACAGCCAGACCCAATGATAAGGAATTCTCTGTATGAAAACATTGTTCCGTGGGTCTGAGGGAGAACGTGCCATTTTCAGGGCTTTGCTGTGGGTTAGAGGCCCAGGTGCCTTTATTTTTCTGAGCTTCACGTCTTTGGGCCAACCACAGCTGACCTGTCATAAGGAGCCGTGGGTGATGCCAGGCTCTATAGATCAGCGCTGGCTGAAACGAAGATTCCTGCCACTCTGGAACCCCTTACAGCCCAGAGATAGATGTGTATCCTCTTTGCCCAGGATCACTGGGACATTCCAGCCGTTGACCAGCTGCTCCAAGGACTCCGGGCAGAAAAGACTTTCAGCTTTAGTGTTACCTCCTTTGTAGTCTAAGACAGACTTGTGCATGTTCAAAAAAATGTGTATTTGCTTCCTCAAGACCTTCTCCCCACCCCC